AGTCAGGTTTTCTGGCTGACCTCTTTTTATTTTATATCCCCGTGGGCAATATGAGAAATGAAAGCTGAGAGTTCTCTCTCTCTCTCTCTCTCTCTCTCTCTCTCTCTCTCTCTCACACACACACACACACACACACACACACACACAGGGTTGTGTGGGGAAGAAAGCAGTGGCAGTTTTCATTAACCTCATTAGCACTGTTCTCCTTACAGTAGCTAGGAGTCCTTCCTTTCATGTCTTAGGAACCCAGATCTCTCCAAGTGCAGGGCTAGGCCATCCACCATCCACCCTAACCTCCAACCTAAATCCTTAGAGATAAACATTTCAGGATCTTGCTTAGAGGAACTGTGTAGATTACTGCTTAGGTGGGTGATGATTTGTTCTCCCTCCTAAAACAGTTTAATTATTTTGCTCCACAGACATCAATTTTCCATTTCACCTTCAAACGTAAAAGTGTAATACTTATACAGCTTGAACTAAAGAATTAAATGGATAGAACAGACTTATGGTTGAGCTGCTGTTTCGTGGCTTTGCCTCTGCTTTCCTGCAGGAGTGAGATTCCAGGCTATGGTGTTGGATCCTTTAGAATGGGTTGAACAGGGAAGGAGGGAGGTTGGAGAAAGGGAGAACACCGCTCTGAGTTTCCTGCTGCCGAGGGGCTGATGGTATACAGTAGAGAAGGCCTCTCCCGAGCTGTCTGTGGTGGCACCAAAGCTGTGTGTCTTTGTTCCCTATAAAAATGCATGGTGCCAAAAAAAAAAAAAGTCTGTGATCAAGAAATCTGCCTTTCCCTTAAGGCCACTGTGTTTATTTGACCTCAGCGCATCCAGCACTCCTAGGTTCACACGGAGCTATCACGAGCTACCTGGAGCCAACGCTGTTCACTCCCACCTCCATGTGGGAGGTGGCACTCTGGAGGTCTCCCTCTGAAGCTGTATTTTATAGGCACCCAGACGTCACCCGTGGCCCCCGGGGTGGGATTGCTATAAACTTTTACTCACTAGTCTGCAGCTAATGAACTAATTGAAAATAAGCTACTTCCCAATTGAGAATGAGGCACTCTTAATCCCAAGTTTTAAGCATCACCCTGCAACCATCGGGAGACCTTTGGGAGACCACATGGGTCCAGAAGCAATTGGCCTTTTTCTTCCCAGGGAGAAGCAGAGTCCCCAGGAACGGACTCATGAGTGGTCCTTTTACAAAGCTCTTCAAGGGACCACACACTTAGGGAGTGCCTGCATCCACACACAAACTCACACATAAGTGTGCATTAGTGGGCTTCCATGAGTGCACACACACTGCCCCTCCACCAGTGCCCTGAGGAATCACAGTGTCTCTTCTGCACATCAATCTCACCTGCCTCGCAGTCACCCCATCATCCTCGAGGGCGCATAGTATGAGAAGATACAGTAATCAAGGTGTTCAAAAACTTTGGGGACTTGCTCTTCTCAACAACTAAAATTTTCAAATAGTTTAAAATCTTCCCATTTAAGAGAAAAACCATTTTTTTTTTCCAAAACAATGTTTCAATGAGTTTGGATATAAAAACTCATGAGTCTATTACATGTGTTCAATTCTATTCTTGTACCTTAGCCTCATTGCTGCAGTTCAAGGCCATTAGCATAAGCATCAGCTCCTATGCTAAGCTAAAAATTACATGACCAGTAGCTGCAAAACAGCACCACCCTCTCCACCCCAGGGACAACTGAAGGGGAACGTTGACAAACAATGAAACAAATGGGGCTTCCAATAAAGGGGTCATAAGCAGAGGTCTGTGGACTTTATACAGGGTGGGCGTTAAGTAAACGGTCTTCTGTAGACTTTCCTTCCATGGCTGGGTTTCCTGGCTACTATTGCTCTATTATACTGGTAAAAAATCTCAAGTCCAAAGGATGCTCTTAGCTGTTGGGAGCACCGTCTATGTTCCTCCTTGTCTGATGCCAGCCACACTTCTCACTTATGTTCTTAACTAACAATATATAATACAAATGAACAATGGCCAAGCCACCTTCTGATGACCTAACTGGGGGAGATTGTCTTCCTATTGAGGATCTGGCTCTCTTTGATTTGCTTTCTGGGCTTTGGCAGTTTGGGAAGCCAAGAGTGTTACATAGCTGAGTTCCTGACAGGTTAGGTGTTGCTACTGCTCCTTGCTTTTCTGCTAGAAATGTCTTCTTTGGAATTCTCACCTGCAGAAACACTTTATTGACTGTAGGCCTTACTCACTATCCTCCCAACTGAAAGCCTGGACTCCTTTCCTGAGCTGTTCTTTTCTACTCAAGAGACGCCATTCTCTCTGTATCTATTGTTCATGAGCAGCCAGTGCTGTGGGAATCTCTGAGAAGAGACACACCCTTCAGGAGCTTTCAAAGTCTTCCACATGGCCAGCCTCCTGGGACAGTGTCCTTCCTACAGAGGTGTGATGGCCTCTGGGAGAAAAAGAAGCCTCTGCAAGCTGGCTGGCAGAGGTCAACTCAGCAGCTTACACTGCAGGCAACAAGACTACAGAGAGCTCAGCTTCACTTGCCTGAAGCTACATCACAACACATCAAAGAGAGTGGTCCAGGACTCTATCCTGAGCACAGCAGAATGTTAGAGTGATTTACTTGGAAAAAAAGATTAAGGAGGAAAGGAGATGCTAGGAGCCCAAACAGTTTTGTTTCTTCGAGTCATGTTGAAATGTATCTTATACCTTTAACGGCCTTGCTTCTCTTCATAGATGCCAGTATTTGTTGGCCTTCTGATTCTCACTCTACCCTCTGGGCAAGTTTTCCTTCTCTTCCAGCTCTTACCATGGGGTACTAGCTTGATTTATTTTGCTGTGATAAGGCCATGAGCAAAAGAAAGGTGGAGGAGGAAAAGGTTTATTTCATCTTATTTTTCCAGGTCACACTCCACTGAGGGAAAGCTAGCCAGGAACTCAACACAAGAATGTGGAGACAGAGGCCGTGGAAGAACACTGCTTACTGGCTTGCTCTCCATGACTTGCTCATGCTTTCTCATACCATCAAGGACTACCTGGTCAGGGGTGGAACCAACCCCAGTTTGCTGGGCCCTCCCTCACACATCACTAATCAAGGAAATGCCACCCAGGCCTCCCATAGGCCAGGGTTTCCTCAATAGTGGTTGCCTCTTCTCAGATGACTCTAACCTGTGTCAAGTTGACAAAGTGAAAACAAACAAAAGAACCCAACCAAGACACAAGGAAAAGAGGAAGGAATCTTCAAGATTCACAATGAGCAGGATAGAAAAGGCCAGGAGCCTTGTCAGTCAGACAGAGTCGCATGCCCTCTACTTCCTATTCTGGACTATAACTGGACTATAACTGGACTCTGACCAGTTACTCAATCTCTTTCAGATTCAAATTCGCATCTTTCCCTATAAGATGGAGAAAGAAGAAGGTAGAAATAACACCAGGGAGGGCAGTGCCACTGTCCAGAGGAGTCACAGGACAGAGCTCTGCTGAAGCGGCCACAGCGCAGTAGGGAGCAAAGGCACAGACACTCACTGCCTGCGGCTCGGCTGCTCGGCACTATCTGTGGGCAGGAGCTGCCCACGGTGTGCAGAATACACATGAAGACTCAGATGCCCGTTCAACACAGGCTCCATCCTAGCAAATAAGAAAAAGCTCTACATGCACGCTCCCCAAGCAGCTCCTGACCCCTCTTTAAGAGCTATCCATTTAGTCTCATGAACTAACATAAAGCGTGTATACATAATGAATGAGGAAAAGCTTAATCTTGATTATCCAAGTTTCTAAACAATTAAAACCCAGAAAAATGAGGTTTCTGCAAACAGATGTCAATTTTTTTTTTCTTCAAGTAAGCCCACTTAAGAACCACACTGCTGGAACCAGGGATCTGATCTTAACCTCCTTCAGTCTCTCTGTGATGCTCAGCCTGAAGGCCACCTTCTCCCAGCATTTTCTTACTTCCAGGCAAGGAACACCTTATCCCAAGTCCGTGCAATAAGCCCGCCTAGAGCCTGTGTTTGGGAGGTTACTTAGTTTAGCTCCATGGCAGAGTGCTTGCCCAACAAACATAGGCACTGAGCCTGATTCCCAACACTGCCAAAATAAATAAATGCATCCAAAATCTCCACACTGGTGCTTCTGCTCAGAACGACCCCTCACCTTGTTTTAATACACTTAAAGATGGTTTTGGAAGCCTCCTCCGAGCACTGACTCCTTACTGAGAGGTCCCAGGCTCTGCCCTCTATACCTGCACATGCTGTTCACATGACATAATGACATGTAAGTCGTTTGCACATCTATCTGCCTTCCTCACCAGATTCAGGGCTTTAAAGAAGGGCTTCCAGGTGCATACAGTTTACCTGAGGACCTCCTTAAAATAGAGTGGGAAGGGAATGCGAGTCTGTATCTCTCATAGCTCCAACGTGACTCTAGCCTCAGCCTACATGCTTCACTGAGTCACTCGATTCAGAGTCTGTGTCTGAAATTTCAGGGATGCCATTCTCCATTCTGTGCTTTAAACAGCCACCCAGCTACTCGGCTGGCAAGAGGAGAGGGCAGACGTCAGGGCAGCTGGCGTGACAGAGCAGCATATGCACGTGTGGGCTAGGGGGCAGTATCCTGAGGGATCAGCTGTCGGAGAGGGAACCAGTGAAATTAGAGATGAGGTGGGTTAGAGCGAATAGGAGATGAGGAGGAGTGACAGAGGAGAAGGACAGAGGGAAGCAAGGGAGAAAGGAGAAGACCCATCCAGGTGCCCTGCTTGTGGTGAGGTCTGGCCTGTGCCATCTGGCTTTCCAGACGACAGGCCTGACCTATGGACTAATGTCTCCCAAGGTGGATACCCCAGTCCTTCACATGGCTGAGGAAGGGTGTCAGTGTTGGCACTCCATTCCCTGTCTCTTCCCTGCTGAGAGATGAGAGACCAGCTGTTTTGGTAAGAGTAACAACAAAGAAGGACTCATATCACACAGGTGAAGAGAAGAGAATCCTAGAGTTTCACCGTAAACACAATCCCAACAAAGGCTACCTGGTAGAGCTCAATCCGTTGTTCAGCCACTCTGGCTTTGGGGTTCTGCAAGCGAAACACTCTGAACTCTGCCTTCACCAGATTAGAAGCATTCTTCTCCATCGGGGAGACATCGAAGCGGACGATTCTGAAGTACGGTCTGTAGAAAGTGGGCGGGATGGCATCTGTAAAAGGTTAGGGCAACGTTGAAAAAGATGAAATCCTTCATGCTCTCAAGAAAGACCACAGTGGGAGAGAGTCCCAAGGAACCATGAGGGAAATGTCTACAGAATTCGGTTTCCAATGGCCAATTTATTATCATTAACAATTTAACCAGGAACAAACTAAAATCAGCCTGTGTGTTTAGTTCCAGGAGAAGCAGATTAAGAACGATTAGCAAACCATTTCTAACCACGTCTGAATGCAAGCAGTTAACCCAGTCTTTTGAAGGCTGACAGACCAGTGGAAAACCCTAGATGGTTACGAATTGGAACAAGTTCATGACAGTTGATGGCTGGAGAGAGCTGTCGGGCTTGCATACACTTTAATCAGATATGCCAAGAAAATAGCTCCTAAATGGCAAGGCTTTTCCCCCATGTGTTTTTTTCCTTGAAAGTTTGGCATCCAGATATTCCACTCTTATTCAGGCTCATGGACTGGGTCGTTTTTTGTTTTTTTTTTGTTTTGTTTTGTTTTGTTTTTTTACTTTAAAAGTCTGGTTTTCACACGTACAACCAAGTTATGATAAGAAAATCTGACTAAAACAGAAGTAGACTCACAAACTACCCACACCTGATCCAGCCTTCAGTTTGCCGGGGGGAGGGGGAGACATGTAACAATCAGCAGGTGGAAGGTGATTCTAGTTATGGAGGAGGAAGCATACAGCACCAATTCCTTTCCTTTGGAGCCTTGTAGTTGACAGCATCTGTGGGTTCCACAACAGTTTCAAGAACATGTGTTGCTTCTCTTGTTTTCTAGCAACTGTGATTGCCTTTGACTATGACGGTGACATTACCCTAAGACCCAAGCAGGTTACCCTGCCCCTCTGATTTCAATTCCACCATTTATTGAGCACCAACACTGGGCTGGTAGTTCATTGTTTTTTAAGTATGTTTTTACAATCTGCCACATTTTTTTTCTTGTGAATTTACCTTCCCTGTTCCAGAATGTTCCATCTCACCTAGAAGCTCTTCTTGCCCTTTGCACAAGAACATGATCACTCATAGTTATGTTTCTCCTGTATATTTTTTCCTCCTGTAAAAATTTAAAACTCTGGAAAGTGGGGACTATGTGCCAGGAATGTCTCCTCCCACCCCCAAGCCCCTGCCACCACATAAACAGGGCAGGATTCTGAACAGAAGGATTTCACCAAACAAATTTTCTTTGTGTAGTTGATCATCAATGGGAGTCTTGAAAGAGTCAGATATCTGGCTATTGGGAGCACTAACTTATTAAACAAGCCATCTTGCTGATCTTAAAATAAATATAAATTTCTCCTCATTTCCTGAGAAATCTGTGCCTTGACAATTATGCTGGAGTGTGAGGGCAAGAACAACCAAAGTAAGTTTCCTCTTCCTTGGGATCTCTGCAGCTTTTCCATCATGGGTGCCTCACCTTATCTCTCCCCATATCCCTGAGACTCTGCAAAAGCAGGCTCATGGAATTCCAAGTCAACTGCCCTATGAATTCAGGCTTTGTAGGCTGGCAAGCCAGAATTCTCAGAAACAAACAAACAAACAGCCCCACGGGTCCAAAGCAAGCAGATTTTGGAGAAAAGAAAGTATTCATGGAGACACGGTGATGGACTCCGTGGAACAGATGGTGGGAAGCCTTCAGAACAACTGGAGAGCCCTTGGAGTCCCCTAGCATAGCAATTCCAGAAGGGAGCTGCAGAGACGACACCGACATTTCTCTGCTTGGAACACCCCCATCCCAGCAGTCACGATTCCCGATCCTCCACTAGGCAGCACAGCGGAAACCAGGTCGGTTGCCCTGGCAGAGCTCAGGCCAGGCTCTCTGGCCTCCCACACCCTCTTGGCCAGAACCTTCCACAGGAGTCATGGCCACACTTTGCTTATCCTCTATGTTAGACAGCAGGGGCTTCAAACATCCTTTGAAAGCTCATCCTGGAAGAGCAAGACCAGTGGCGTGCTTCCTGTCAGCAGACAGCGTGAACATCTCCTTCGTTTTCCCTTTTTCTTTCCATGGAGCCCCTCTGGACCCATTCTACTGGCACAGACTGCCATCTTTCACACCCGTCTGCCACAATCTTCTCCTTTATCAAGTTTGTAAATAAGTGCTTTCCAGATTTATTTTTATTCTCTTTTGTGTTTATTAAACTTTGAACAATTTTTTCCCCTTTCTGGTCTCCTGCCCATACACACGCATTTCCTTTTTACGGCTGCCTCAGACCATGAGGTCAATTTTGTTTCTACTTCTTCTAAGCAAATCTCCAAATGATCCTGTCCCAGGCTTTTGAGCTCTGAAGGGGCATCTGCAAATATTTACAAGAGCAGCTTGATGGCTAAGTGCGGTCCCTCTGTTAGGCTCCCTCCAGCCCAGGCAAACAGTCCTCTCTGCTGGCTCAGAGAACCATTTAGACAGCTTACATTTCAACTGCCTGATAAAATCAATCAGCATTTAGGTTCCTGTTTTGTAACTAAAAGCAGTTAATGCTCAAGATGGCAGGAGAGCCGAGGAGTAGGCCCAACCGATGCCCCTGGTCAGGTTTTGGAATGCAGTGAGGCAAACAAGCCTGGAGGAGGAGATGACAAAAGAACTTAATAAAAGCTGCTGACCCTGCAAGGAGCACCTCAGCTGTCCCCTACTGTCACTTGCTTACAGATCACAAGTTCCAAGGCCTGGATGGGGGACTTGATCAGCCTGCCAACTGTCCTCTCATTTGGGGGGAATTGCACTGAACAAAATGGGTCAGTTTGCCACAAGCCAGAAGCAGAGCAAGGCAAGCTCACCCACTCAGCTCAGGGTGCCAGAGCAGCAGGGTAGGGGTTAATGGCTTGTGCAGCCCAGGTCCACCCACTTAGCCTTGAAGGAAGGAGCAGTCTCACTCCTTGCTCAGGGATGGGCCTCGCTGTAATCCTCTGTAATTTCAATCCTAGTTTCCATGCTCCTGTCAGGTAGCCAGCTACTCCTGCTTGAACCCCGCCAGCCTGCCCCCACTCAGCCTGGGCCACTCCTCCCGCTCTGTTTCTGACCCACTTTTTCAACTCAAGCAAACTGATTTTCCTGCAACCCCTTTGGCTTTCAGACCAGCCTCAGACTCGGTAACTTTCCCCAAGTCTTCCCACTTGGAACGCCTTGCACTCAGAGAAAATCGTGTGCACCAATGAGTCCATGTGTCATGGTCTGAGTGGTTGTCTCCCCCTCACCTTCTGTGGGTACACATCTTTGCTAAATCAAATTTGGGGAATTGGAGAAAAGCGGAACAGGGATTTAACTGCTCAGTAATTTGCAAAGTAACTGTATACAAAATGCTAAATGTAGTATTTAATCAATCACATACTACTTCATAAACATTACATACTGACTTGAGTCTGTTCCAAATAACTCATTTGTTGTATATATTGTATTCTTCATAAGCACTTCCTGCCCAGGTGTCTTTATTTACAGTTCTTTACTTCTTCATAACCCAGAGCAGATACACAGGCTCCTCATATTCAGAAAGGACCTAACCCTAACCCTAACCCTGACTTGAGTGCTCTATGGTGGCATCTTGAAATCTTAACTTTTATATTCATGTTTTGTATGTGAAGGATAATGGGTATGAGGCTTGGAATCTCAGCCCTTGCACTGATCTCTTCTCCCAGAAGTCTCTGCCTCTATTTGCTCTCCAGTGGCCCCAGTCTCTTCATTGTTCTTGGACCATATAGTGAGCACTGTTATCCTCTACACCTAGAAGACATACTATGGTCTTCCTTCCTTCCTTCCTTCCTGTGTTTCCTTCCTAGCGGTACTAGGGATCTAATCCAGGGCCTTGTGCCTCTTATGTAATTGCTCCACAACTGAGCTATATCCCCAGCTGTTCTAGAATTTTCTACAGCCGCTCTTTTTCTGACTGTTTGCACAAGAGATCCCATGGTTTTTCTTTGAAGAGAGGTCCTGTATGTTGCATACCTGGCCCTGCTACAGCCACAAAGAACAAGGAGAGCTCAGGACAGGAGAGATCTCACTGGGGAATCTCAGTTCTAATACCAAATCAAGCAGGCTTTGGCTGAGTGCGGTAGCAACATGCTCCAGCTTTTCTGAGCCTGTCTCTTCATCTCCTCACCCAGGCAAGTAGATACTGAATGGTGCTGTCAGGATTACATGAGAAAACAGAAGGGAAGTCGGAGCCCTGGATCTTGCACAAATCTCTACTCAGGTCCCTTGCAAAGCTGCCAAGTGGCCATTGGGCCTTTGTGAATGTGCCCGGGAGGGAAGCTCTCTTGCTGCCTGACAGAATTCATTAGAGGCAAAGAGAACGAACAAAAACAGCTGCATGTCCCAGGGCACTGTATAAAGGGCTCTGTGTGCTCCAATTCCTGTCCCCTGTGTGGGGAGGACTTAGTAAGCAGAGTTCTTCACAGTTCTCACCATCTTCCCCTCGTCTTACTGAAAGTCCTGGCCACTCTAAAGGGCAACGAGACAATTCCATCTTCCTGCCAAATGTCTCCATACGGAGTAGTGGCACCTTCCCCCAAATGAGGTCTCAAAAAACAAACAAACAAACAAACAAAACAAAACCAATAAAACAAAAAAACAAAAGGAGTCAGGTATAGAGGCACACACTCATAACGTCAGCATTTTGGAAGCTGAGGTGGGAAGATTGTCCTGGGTGGGAAGCCAGCCTAGCCTGTACGTCAACTATTCTAAGCTGACCAGGGATATAGAGAGACAAAACAAAAACAAAAGAAAAGAGACAAAGCCAGGCAGCACTAACACGTGTCTTTAATCCCAGCACTAAAGAGGCAGAGGCAGGTGGGTCTCTGAGTTCAAAACCAGTCTGTCTACACAGAGAGTTCCAGGACAGCCAGGGCTACACAGAGGAACCCTGTTTGGAAAAAACAAACCAAAGCAACCAACTAGCCAAACAAACAAACAAAAAACCCAAAAACAAACAAACAAACAAACAAAAAAAAACAAAACTGGAGAAAATTCTTACATATGTGTTCTGACAAAGAACAAA